TCATGTTTTCTTCATCTTTCTCCACCCCCACATAGTTCAGACACTTTTTCCAAAGTAGGTAAGAGATTTAGCAAGTTAGTTTTCTTATCTACAACAGCTGGGCTCTATCAACCAATGCTCTCTCTCCCTGCATAGCCAGCCGCATCCCCTCACTCCCTGCATAGCCAGCCGGATCTCCTGTGTCTCACAGCTGAGCCGGCTGCGGGGGTGAGGGTGGGGGTGGGGGGCAGGGGGAGGGCAGTATGCCGGCCCCACCGGGCTTCAGGCAGCTGTTTCACGTTAACGATGATTGCACTGGTGTTAGCTGGAGCGTTTTGGTGCTTGGCGCACGCTGCCAAAAGGGATGAGGAACAGTTTCAAAGTTCTCCCAGATGCCCGGCCCTTGGCTGAGGGCCTCAGCAGTGGGGGAGGGGAAACCCGAGGCCAAGGAGGGCTCTCCAGCAAGGACCCTGCAGGCTCGCTGGCCTCTTCACCATAAAGAATGTGCAATGGGGAGGAAAAGTCTAAAATGTGGTGCTGTTCAGGCCAGGCTGCGTTTCCAAGGCCTTGCTTCCACTTCATTCCAAAACTTAACTTTCCTTAAACAAGTACTTTTGAGCAACTGGAATGTTCGACTTCTTTTGGGGGTAAGCCACATTTATTTTTCAAACTTGGTTTGTTTGCAAGCCCAACTGCTAAGATCTGATGTTTTGTATTTTAGACCCAGTGGAGTGTGGAAAGCTTTGAGGGGGAGTGGGGGATCATTCAGAAATTTCCTCTTGCCACAGATCAATGGAGGGTATGTAGGTCATTGTCTCTGCCGCGGCTGGAATTCACAGCAAACAAAACTCTCTACTATTGCTTGATCACCCTTAGGAAAGTGTTCGTGTAAACTAAAGGAACAAGAAATAACAAATTGCAAGTAAAGACAAGCCAGGATTTCTATCACAGGCTGGGGAGCGGAACTAAAATGGACTGGCTCACAAACTGTGTTAACTCAAGATAAAATTCTTTTGTAGTTAATTGTGCAAATGAGCCAGTAATGTGTGTTTAGAATGCCCTGATAGGGCGGCATTTCCACCGGCTGTTTGAAAACGAAGGTGTTTTTTAAACGACCCAATTAGTGTGTACCACCTTCTAAATGATTTCAGAGAAGGGATGCATGCGTGGACATATTTTCTCCCACTCGCTCTGTCTGAATCTACTGCTGAGTGCATAAAGGGGGCGGGGGGGGGGGCGGGCACAAAATAACTGTTGAGAAGGCCAAAGCTCTGCACCCACCCATGGGGATAGATGGCGGATTATGAGCTCTGCAGCAGCACAGGAACCCGGATGAAAGGGCCAGGCCTGGGAGGGCCCAAAGCAGTCAGGACTAACAGGCATAGCTCTTGGCTGCAAGCCTGGCCCTGCGCTAGAATGCTCCGTCCAGGCTGGGTGTGTGCAGGGAGGAAGCCCGCTAGAGTGCGTTTGAACCTAGAAGGGAACTGTCCCCAGGCGCTCCCTCTTCGGTTTTGCTTGTGACAAGAGTGGGGACAGATGTGACTCTGCCTTGAAAGTGGAAGTTGGGTCCCTCTGCCTTCCTTGGCCTTGCGAGTTAGTGGGAGCGGACTCGGCCCCTAGAGGGTAAGCCCAGGCCAGGCTTGCCTTCCATCAGGGGCCTGTAGCTACTTTCCGTTGTTACTACCTTATTTAATTGGGTGTGTTTTTTCCTGTTCTCACTCCAGGAGATGTGCAGCCCTGTGGCCATCCAGGGCAGGTCCAGTTCCATGCGGCCGGCAAGGCCAGGGCGGGAGGGAGCAACAGAGGGAGGGCCAGAGAGGAGCGAGGCCTGGCAGCTGGACAGGCCTGCCCAGGAGGAGCCCTGCGGGAAGGAGGCGGGTGGGGGTCTGGGCTGCTGGAAGCCACAGCACCTCTGGGTCCCACCCCTGGCCTGGGTGTGTTCTTCCAGCCTCTCCCGACAGATTGTGCTGGACCTGGAAAGCGTACGAGTGTGTATGTGTCTAAGGGTGTCTGCATGCCTGGAGGGAGGTCTGTGGGGGTGTGTCCACATGGAGGGCGACGTGTGTGTGTGTGTGTGTGTGTGTGTGTGTGTATGGGTCCCTGTCTTTTAAGGTGGGTGTGCACACGTTCCTAAGTATTACCCTGTGCAGGTGCTCAGGGGCCTGTGTGTGGTGTTTCCGTGGGGGAGTACTGTGGTGTGGGGCTGTCTGTGGGTGTGTGGATCTGTGTGGAGTATGTATGTCTATAGGGTATGTGAGTCTCTGGGTGGGTGTGGAAATCTATATGTGTGAGTATGGGTGTGAGCTTGGGTGTGTCTGTTGCTCTGACTGTGTGTAGGTGTATGTGTGGATCTGTGTGTGGGTGTGGGTGTGGGTGTGGGTGTGGGTTTGGGTGTGCCTGAAGCTGTGGCTGTGTCTGTGTAGCTAATGCTGTGTGGGTAAGTGTGTGGGTCTGTGGGGTGTGAGGGAGAACCTGTCAGAGTTGCTGTATGTTTGGGTCTGGAGGTGTCTGTGTGTGTGGGAGTGTGTCCATGTGGGGTCAGGGTGTTAACACCTACAGAGGAAAAGCAACCCCTTTTAGCCGGCCTCTTTCAAGCTACAAACTGCTTTCAAAACCCGGAAATGATGGTCAGGCTGTCATCCGCTTCCTGCAGGGCGGTGGGCAGAACAGGGCTGATGGGAGGGTGGCAGACAGGCCTCCAGGCCTGCAGGGACCCCCTGACCCACCCTATTGCAGGGCACACCTGCCAGGGACAGGCCTCCTGGGCCTGACTAGAGGGACATATTTAGAAACAGTTCTCTGGTTGGAGGAGGAAGGAGCCCGATTATTTTCATCTGTGCAGAAATAGCTGTCAGATAGGCGTGCTGGTGCCCTGGGGTGAGAGCAGCTCTGAAATAGAAGGGAAGATATTCACTCAGGCAGACAAGAAAACTCCTAAACTCGCTGAAACTGGGTTTAAAATATTTCTCTAAAAATAAGCTTTGTTTTCCTTGTGGATTCCTCTGGCACTTAGGCCCTTGTGTCAGGGTGCTTAGCTGGCCTGGGAAGCCAGGCGGAATTTTTTAAAAAGCAAGTGTTTCCCAGCTGTGGCCTTGGAAAGTTCTCTGTTTTTCATTTATTAAACTAGTTTCCGGCTAATTAAAATGATTTTCAACTAAAACTCCCTGGCCGAGCAATATTTGATGAAACACAGAATTCCCAGTGACCCCCTCTGCAGGAGGCTGGGCTGGCTGTGACCCCTCCACTGGGCTGGTGCTGGTTTTACTGGGAGGAGCGAAGCCTTTGAAATGCATGCCCAAGGCCTTGTCTTAGCAAATCCCACCCCTCCTGTGGTGACTGAGTGGCTGCTTGCAGGGCAGTCTCTGAGCCCTGCCCCACTTGCCAACCTGCTGTTTCTTTCCCTGCTCCCTGACTATTGTTGAAGATTCAGGTCCAGCCGAAAGCCATTGTGCCAGGACTTTATTGAGCACCTACTGGATGCAACACGTTGTGAGGATGGAAATGCCAGCAGGAGGCATGTATTGCTGAAGGCCAGAGGTGGTGAGATTCAGAGTTGTTGGCAGGTCCCCCTCACTGCCCTGGCATTCAGTCCACATATCACAGGGGTGAGATGCTGGGACTGCTGACCTGGCCTTTCATCCATCCCACAGGCAGTTCTTGGTCACCTACTGAAAGCCTGCACAGTGGTCACAGATGAGCTGACCGACGTCATCCCTGCCTTCGTGGAGTGTACACAATGTCTTCAAGCTTCATTCATGGTGTAGCTTGAATCAGCCTTCTTTCCTTCGTACAGCTGCATAATATTCCATTGTGTGGATGTACCATTTTTGGTTTATAGACATTAAAGTTGTTTTCCTTTTGGCTGTTGTTGAATGATGCTGCTGTGAACGTCCATGTACAGTTTTTGTGTAAACATACGTTTTCAATTCTTTTGGTTATATACCTAGAAGTAGAATTGCCAGGTCGCATGGTAATGTTTAACTTTTTGAGGACTGCCATACTATTTTCCAAAGTGATGCACTGATTTTTGTAACTATGTAGTGTCTGTTTTCCCTACTCAACCTGACGCATGTTTTATGATGTCCACTTAAAAAAACATAACACTTGTTCACAATAGCCAAAAGGTGGAAACTACCCAAATGTTCATCAACAGATGGATAAATAAACAAAATGTGGTATATCCATACAATAGAGTAGTATTTAGTCATAAAAAGGAATGACGTATTGATTCACATTACAGCATGAATGAATCTTAAGAACATTATGTTGCAGGAAAGAATTCAGACACAAAAGACTACATATTATATGAGTCTACTTATATGAAATGTCCAGAATACGCAAATCCATGGAGACAAATAGTGGATTTGTGTTTGACAGGGGTTAGGGGATGAAGGGGAATGATGCTAATAGATTCAGTGCTGCTTTTGGGTTGATGAAAATATTCTGGGATTAGATAGTGGTGATGGTTGAACAACCTTGTGAATATAGTAAAATTTGTACACTTGTGGGCTTTAATCTGGTGACTTTTATTGTATGTGAATTGTATCTTAATTTTTTTTAAAGTACGCTCACGAATTGAAATCTGGGGTATGAAAGAGAAGGACAGCCCTAGCCACCTTGGCTCAGTGAATAGAGTGTCAGCCTGTGGACTGAAGGGCCCTGGGTTCGATTCCAGTCAAGGGTACATGCCCAGGTTGCCGGCTCGCTCCCTAGTAGGGGGCCTGCAGGAGGCAGTTGATCAATGATTCTCTGTCATCATTGATGTTTCTATCTCTCTCTCCCTCTTCCTCCCTCTCTGAAATCAATAAAAATATTTTTTTAAAAAGAAAAGAAAGAGGATGAGAGAGCCTCTGTCAGGAAAACCGACCTCGCTTAGGGCCTGGGAAACTTCTAAAGAAGTAGGAAGGGCATAGTGCAAGTAACAGTAAGGCAAGGGCCGGCGAAGAGTTTTCCAAGTAAAAGGAGCAGCTAGGTGCTTGCATCGGCAGCACATCCACTAAAATTGAGATGATGCAGATATTAGCATGGCCCCTGCACAAGGATGACATGCAAATTCACGAAGCGTTCCTTATTTTTAGAAGGTTACTAGAATTGGCTGTGGTGATCACTTTGTAAGGTATATAGATGTCAAACAATATTGTTTCTATGTTGTACACCTGAAACTAATATAATATTGTATGTCAACTATACTTTTTTTCGTTGTTAATCCTCACCTGAGGATATTTTTCCATTGATTTGTAGAGAGAGTGGAAGGGATGGGGAGAGATAGAGAGAGAAACATCAATGTGAAAGAGACTCATCAATTGGTTGCTTCCCACATGCACCCCAACCAGACCAGGGTCGGGGATCACCTACAACTGAGGTATGTGCCCTTGACCGGAATTGAACCCAGGACCCTTCAGTCCATAGGCTGACACTCTATCTACTGAGCCAAACTGGTTACGGTGTCAACTATACTTTTTTTTTTAAGGAGCAGCTAGTGCAAAGACCCTGTGGTAGAGGGAGCATGGTTCCAGAGAGGAAAGGAAAGATGGCTACAGCACCTGGGGCTGGAGAACAGAGCAAAGTGGCACAGGATGGGGCTGGGGCAGTGGGCTCAACACTCAAGAGACCACTAGCCTGCCCTCTGCCCCCCACCAACTCCTGTATTAGAGCATATTTTTGGTCTGATGATTTCTACAGTTTGCTTATATTATCCTTTGAAATTTGCTATATTTCAGTTAAACGTTTCCAATTAAATGTTTAAGTGAAAAAAATTGTCCTTAGAACACCCCCTAAAAATGTTAACACCCCTGAGAGCGGGACTCATTGGGATCTTTCATCTCAGAGCTCAGTAGGTTCCCCTCAGTGGGAAGACCTGGGGACTCTGGAGTCAGAGGTGGGGAATGGGTCCTATCTGCTGCCAATTACCCACTGGGTGACCTTTGAGCCTCAGTTTCTTCATTAGAAAAATAAAAATGGGTTAATCTATTGTTGTCCTTGTTTTTGTTGTAAAGATTAAGTGAGATAATATTGGCCAAATGTTTTGCCCCAGTGCCTAGAGGTGGTAGGTATTCAACAAGAACTAGCTGGCTATTATTAGCATTATGTGTCATCATCTTTCTCTTCCTCTCTGCCTGCCCCCAGCTCATGCCCACAGGATTGGAATGCCTTGAAGATCCTCAAAGTGACTCTTTATGGAGCCCCTATTATGCACTAAAGCTTTATGTATGTTAATAACAGCCTTTATATCTACTACACAAGACTGAGGGACTACTACTGCCCCTGTTTCAAAGATAAGGAAACCGAGCTCAGAGAAGTTATATGCCCCAGGCCAAGCGGCTGGGGAAAGGCTGAAGTAGAATTCAAAGGAACCTGAGCTGTTGCTCCTTCAGATCGCCCCAGGCTGCAGCTCTGACTCCTCTCTCCCTGCCTCCCTCCCACACTGTCTGTAAACTCAGATTTCCACATCTGTGCTTTAAAAACACAATTACTTCAAGCCATTCTTTGCTCAAAATCCTCTGAGAATAAAATCTAAAATCTTAGCAAGGCCAACCTATGAACCAGGAGGTCACGATTTGATTCCTGGTCAGGGCACATGCCCCGGTTGCGGGCTTGATCCTCAGTGGGAGGCATGTAGGAGGCAGTTGATTAGTAACTCTCATCATTGATGTTTCTCTCTCTCTCTCTCTCTCTCCCTCCCTCTCCCTTCCTCTCTGAAATCACACACACACAAAAATATTTTAAAAAATATTTTTAAAATAAAATATATAAGAAAACATAATAATATATTTTTAAAAATAAAATC